CAAAATAAACAAACGATACCAACGATCAATCGAATGTCCTGTTTTGTCCACACAGATACATCATGTAGATATACATTTTGTGATCCCGGACATTTCATATAACTTGTATTTCTGATTTCTTGCTATTGACAAACTTTGTTGTCAAAGCAATCAACCCAATATGTGACATTTAATGTATGATATTTAATAACTTTTGACATTTAATAACTTACTTGCTTTTATGCCTTCCTCTTTATTAATGATATTGGTGTTTTTGGTTTGCTCAGTTCCTTCTTCCATTCCAAATACCTAAAAAATCAATATTTATCTAACTAGAGCCTTAAAAACTTTAAATTCGCCAAGCTGGTATATACGAATTCGGAAAGGACATAACACATTGAACCTTGGCCATCTTGTCCAACATAAGTGTTTAAAAATTATTATATCGGACAGTTTTTTCAATGTGCTTAATATATATTATACTACCCTCTTTGAAAACAAATCCTAAATCCCTTTTTGTGATCTTGTGAAGTCTTATGAAGTTCAAGATTATTTCATCATTAATTCCATACCATTTTACAGCCTATTTACCTTAATACTTAATAGAGGCTACCAGAGTACATTAAACATAAAGGATTTGAAAGCAGCACCCACACAACATTTCATTTGCTTGCGGATGTTTGACTTTCAGGTCAGGCCTAGTAAAACAAATGTTTTCTTATACAGCCCCGCCAAAAAGGTTTGAAAGGACCATGCCATTGCGCAACACCAGTCACAATAGCTGAAGGAATCCGAAACAACTGTTACGAGCTATTGCCCCCCGAAATGTGCCAGGGCCAATGTTTGTACTAGCTTTGGTGCGTGCAAGTACGAGCGACTACCAATGCGTCCTCTTGTCACATTCTGCTATGGTTTCCTTGGTTTGAACATGTACCTTTTACTTCTTTTAAAGGTGTCGACTTGATTGATTGACTTGACTTTCTCCTTATAGGATTCTTTATTGACACAACAAAAAGTACAGGGACTTTTGTATCCAGGTCTTCTACAACTAAAGATCTAACAAAGTTAAATACATGTACATGTATAGATAACTTCATCTTACGTACAGAATATATGTATGTGGCAAATTACATACAGAATATATATCAGTGATACCAATGTGACAATGTCTGAGTCGTATGTTTGAAAGAAGCAACAAATATATTCATTTTGTTTGTGTTTATCCCAGCCCTTGAGTTCAATACATACCTGTAATATTTAAACACAGAAAATAAAAATGAACTATTTAGTCAACACTGCCCAAACTAAGGCCACACCAATTTAATTTGTTGGTTCTCGGATTTTTTCTGAAAAAATATGAAGTGACAGGGAAAAAAAAAATAAAAATAAAAACAGGTCTAGGCATCCTATTATAGGCTTAAATGCTACGGAATGAGCCATGAAGTCAACACAAAAGGCTGGGTTAAAATCTAAACATTGAATTTTGAACTTTTAATCAAACCACTGCAATGATAGATGGGAAAACTGTAACAACTAGGAAGAAAAGGACTTTCATTAACTGTTGGGGGCAAAACATGAGCATTTTTCAGTTGATTCAGGATCAGAATCAAATTTTTTTTTTTTTGCAAATCAGAAAAAAACGAAGAGGCGAATCCGAGAACCAACAAATTAAATTGGTGTGGCCTAAGTAAACAAAACATAATATCTTTGAAAACACAAGATGATTTTAATGCCACAATATGAAATTTTTTTTAGAAATCTGCAACGGGCCTCGTGCAGAAAAAAGAGAGAAATTTTCACGGCCCACTTATCATACATAATGCACCAACCAGTCTCTTTTAAGGCTTTCAAAATCGCTAAAAACCATGACAACTGTGATCCAGGGTGACATTTCAATGACAACCACAGATAATTACCTGAGCTCAGTGGGGGAGCAGGCTGGGATGGGGGATAAGGATGCTTCCGCCCACCCAAAATGGACTTACATAAAACCATTAGAGACCTGGTACATTTACAGTACAGGGCTTAATGAATGAATGTCATTCATTTATAGCTATGATATAAGCATACATCATACATGATTTTCTACATTTTTAGAAGGCTCACAAAATGTACTAAAAAGTAGTAAAACAGATAAAAAATGATCATACACGTGAATTTTGATTCCTCATTGGCTAACCATTTTTAGACTTCTGAAGTTCACTACTTCAATTTCAAAGAAAGAAACATAGAACATTGGTATCATTTCTTCATTCATGTGTATCTGAATTTTCTCTCTTTAGTATTCTCGTCTACGCCTCAGACCAATTCCTTCCTAAATTGTTCAATTTCTTGGCAGATTCATGAAATTTTCTAGGGAATAAGAGACTTCCAGATAATTCTCCAATGCAGAGCTGCCAACGTTGTCATACCTAACAGTTTTAGACTGTACTTATGATGGCTTACTAACACTTGTGTATGACATATTTTGTTCAGGTAATGTACAATTATCCTCTGCAAGGGAAAATCATTTGCAGAAAATAGAACTTTAAGGGCATCCGCTGCAAGGCAAAGAATTATGGAAAGAAGTCTACAGTCTATGTACAGGGAAAATGTGTTCATCATTCAACCATTACTTTTTAGAAAACTACGCAAAAGTATCAATTTACCAATAACAAACTATATTACTTTGCAATCTCACTCTGAGTATGCATTATTCACATCTTATCAAGTAACATATGCAAGCCAGAGCCAAGGACATGATAGAATGCCCAGAACATAGTAGGTGGTTGGGAAAATTACGGTTGAGTGTTGGCTTGGATGCGAGCAGAATGCTAAGCAGACCCTAACCACAATAGGAGCTGACGTTGCCTGTTGTGGGAAGGACTTAACAAATGTCACTCATGCATGATTTAGCCGACCTTTGCCGGAGCACACTTTCGGGGGTGTAGCAGAGCAGGGCTGGAAATACTGGGTGCATGTGCACCTTAGTGCACCCAAAATTGGAGCTGTGCACACCTAATTTTTTTCTGTAGGTGCTCTGGTGCACCCAAATATTTTTGTAGGTATTTTTGTACATATTAAATGTGTAATACTGGATATTCTTGGCATCTAAGTGTCAGAAAATCTTTGTAGTTGTTTAAGATTTTGAAGTTAGCTCCCATTTCAGATTCAAGCTCAGAAGAGGAGCAGTAAGACCTGCAGTTTTGTTTCATATGGTGCGCCCCAAAAATTTTTTTTGTGCACCCATCTTTTTAGGTTGGGTGCACCAGTGCACCTATTCCCAAAAATGAATTTCGAGCCCTTTAGGTGTAGCGGAGGGATAAATGTTGCATGCGCGTCACGGGACCGACACAAGATAATGCGAGACAGCGTAATCCTTTATCGGGTTCGGTCTGTCCCACAGAGCAAATACCAATGATCCATTACACGATGGGCAATTGACTACATGTGGTATGTCGATATAGGGGGAATTAGATTCGCTGGACGTGAACGATACCACTGGTGTCAGATCTGAGTTACATTAAGTTACTGTGAAGGGCACAAAATATATCATGGACACAACATGCTACTATTCAAACAATATATGGGGGTCTTCTGAGGCTGTCTCAAAAACTTACCCATCGCAGGGTAAAATTTGCAGGACATTGCTATCGAGCTAAGCAGGAAATCGTTTCTTCTGTCCTTCTCTGGAAGCCAAGAGGTCGAGTACACTGTAGAAGTCTGACTTTTACCGATACCTTAACTAGAGACACTGGCATAGAACTCGAATACTTAGTACTTAGGAAATGTAATGTTAGATGCAGAGAACTGTAGAGTTGTATGTGATGGCATAGAGCCCGGCTGATAGGCCGCTAATGTATGTATGTATGTCAGATCTGAACTGTAGTTACATGTGCGTATATTCACAGGGTGGCTTTTAGCTAATCTCTGAGTAGAGATCTTTCGGTGGCTACGAGACAGAATCAAATTGGCAAGACTCAGTAACAAATTGGCAAGACAGCATCAAAATTGCCAGGGTAGTATCTGGGGTGTAAGAAAAGATACTAGTACTAAAAAGGAAGCTGATAAAAGTGCCTGAAAACATGTTAAAAATAGGCCAAAGCCTAAAGCTCTGCCTGGAGTGTAGCTCTTAACTTCAGAGGGCAACCTTTCAGACTATTATAAAAGCACTCACTACCACACGACTAAAAAGCAATTCAAGTGCAAAGTGGGACTGGCACAAAGATGGCAGTTGAAAAACTATGCAGGCTTCTGTGTACATGAAATGTTAGACCATTGCATTTTCTTGTGTTTCCTTTTTTGAGTTTCAGTTTTGTGACTGCTTTGAGTTTTGTGACTCAAAGTACCCTTAATTTTAAAAAAAAACATTTTCTTCTTCGAAAATCCACAATTATATCTAGGGATTCATCATTATCCTGAAAAGGCTACTTTTCTTCATTTTTTTTGGACAATATTTCTTTTTGGGGAAGGGTGGTAATTTTTCCTGGACAACATAAAAATGTTGTCTACCTGGGTATTGACAATGCTCACTTTTCGCAGACAGTACAACCAACATAATTCTTATGGAAAGGAAATTTGTCTTTTTATCTTATTCCACTCTTTTCACCACCATAGACTTTGCTCTGTCTATGACTAACCTTACTAGACCAAAACAACTCAAATGGAAGTGATGTCATTTGATACCATGAAGCAGGTGCCACTGCGTACCAGGTAAACTGTGTCCACCACGCCCTTCACATAACACTAACAGTGAACACTTTTTTTTTTTTACGTACGCTTATTTTTTTATAGCAACGGTATTGGACGCTAATTTCTTCTTATCAAACTAGGGGCATTTTTCGGGGATTATGCGTTAAAGCAGCTGTGCTAAAATTGAGATAAAATTTCCGTCTAGCAGTAATCCATATAGCGCACAGACAAAACAAACAAAAAACTGGCACTGAACCACTGGCAAACGCTCGTGCATTTTGATATGCAGTCAGTGACCATTCATGCAAACGTGACTTGTAGTTTGTGGTTCAAGTGTAAATGTTACTTACCGTAGGCGTCTTTGGGCTGGATGGTCCGGACGAAGCTGCTCATGAGATTGTAGTAGCCCGCCAGACCACCTGCGGAATGGGGATCCTTGGTGTCGTAGGGCAGGTCGGCGGGAAGGCTGCCGAAGTCGCACGTTACGACGTTGCTGCTGTCGGCCGTGCAGCTTCCCGAAGAGCCAGCCGGTGCCTGGGTACCTGGTGCCGCCGTAGGGCCCGACGTGGTCGCGTTTTGGCCTCTACAGAGCGCCACGAACGCGGCAAAACACAGGAAAGTCCTGAGAAGCGAGAGCTGCCCGGCAGCCATGTTTCTTCTCTTACGCTCGCACTAAAGAATGATTCTGTCACGACTCACGAATTTTTGTTCGTCGCACAACGCGACTGATCTGTGAAAAAAGGGGGCGGCAAACATTAAACACGTCATCTAAAACACTTAATTCGTCTGCGTTTTTTCTTGACGTAACATTTTCTGTTTGTAGTGTAGAGTATGGACCATAAATATTCAGTTTTCTACGGGAAAAACGTGCGACGCAGACGGTGGGTGATCTTGATAAGCCATTTTTGAGCATCGCAACTTCCTTGTTGTCACAAGTTCTGCCTGTTGCACTTCAAACAACACAAGCGCACGGCGGTTTAAAATCATAAACATGCCTACAACACTAACACAAGCACTCAACCATACGTAAAGTATAAAATCTGAGGCATGCTAGGCAAGATCATCGATGTTAGCGTCGATTTCACTTCCAAACAACGTGGGAAAAAACAGACGACAAAGCGCCCGGGCATATGTTTACTCACCGTACACGCGTTTAGGATTTACTCCAAAATTGGTCCTCAAAAGCCTACAAATCGAGTTAGCTAGCTACACCAATGCTTGCTTCGAGTCCAACTACAGTACTGAATGGGCTAATTAGGATCAGAAGTCGCCTGTTTTTGGTGCTAGGTGATGAATTCCACCGGGAAAATTGCTGGTAACCCTTAGCGATGTCTAAACCCTCCCCCAAAACTGTTCGTCTGGGGGGCCGTGTGACGTCACACCAGGTGAGGCGGGCAGCCTGTTTGATATGTAAATTTTCTACCTGCGCAACACAACAGGAAGTAAAAGACAATGGAAATTTCGTGCCTTGTCATCCCCTGATTAAAAATAGATATGACATGTTGTTGTATTCCATTTGATGAGTACATAATTCACAGTAACGATTAACTTATGCATTTATTCAGTCGAGGACAAATAGACAGCAAACCAAAGGGTCAATACCCTTTCAAAATGCCATCCATCCCTCCATGCGGAACTAAACGAACCCTTATTTGTTTTATGCAGATAGGCAAACAGAAGACGTCAACTCAGGGTTCCAGGAAAAAGTCCTTAAACGAGCCTGCTTAAACTTAGAATCAAGAGGGAAGCTTTCCACTCTCTTAGGTGACTAGTGATTATGCTTTTGCCCCTTGTATTTTGATTCCCTAAACCCTATCGCAAAATAAAAGTCATATGATTGATGTTAAGTTTTGTGAAAAAAATTGCTGGACTGTAGTTTTTAAAGTTTTTAAAAAGAATTTTAGAAAATAATTTTTTTTCAGTACAAAAAAAAGAAAAAAAAAAGATAAGATTATAAAATCAGTATCAAGACATACTATTGTTTCCACACCTGCCAGACATCTTGTTATGCCCAATTAACCAATAAAAGAAGCTGGCTCAGTCCTTGTTACCATGGCAGACCAGGTTGTAAGAAAACACCTGCCAGTGTGCCTGTTCGTCGCCTGGTCCGAGAATTGGGACAGGGGAGTGTTTTAAATTTTAAAGGGCTCAATTATAAGAAGATTAACACACAGCAGAGCAAACGGTCAGCATTGTGCTAGTACTTTATAAAGGTGTGGACTTTGTGCAAATGGCCTATTCCAACCGTATTATCCCTGGTCAGTTTCAGAGTGACCAATGCCGCAGCTGGATTTAAAACTTTCCTTTTTCTTGCTTACAAGCTCTGAAGTATTAAAGGTGGGGATAATCTGCATACTAGTACAGTACTCTCTCCAAGTAGAGGTTTAAGCTTTAGCATATTTTTGACATGCTTTTAGGCTTTTTGACATGCTTTTATGCTTTTCTTATTGTGCTTTCTTTTTTGTACTGGTATCGTTTTTTTTTTAGTGCCAGCCAATTTCGGGTGGCAAATGGAAGTGACTGAAAAGGGTAGAAATTTGCAAAATAGACAGATAACATGCCAGGGGAGTTGGTCCACTGAAGGTGTACAGTTTGATGCTCTGAAGATATTAGAAGCTAGATCATACCTAAAGCAGAATCATATTTATGTTTCCACCAGATACACCTCACCTACTCACTGAACTGAAAACATATTATCCACCTCCTAAATGACGGAGACAGAAATAGCACACACCAAGGACATTATACCTTCTGTATAATGTCCTTGCACACACACACACACACATGGGTACACTGGATTGTTTCTGTCAGGTGTGTAATGCCTTAGCTACAAATCAAGTTACCACCACCTGCCTCTGGGCAAGGTTGCTATGTCAACGCAAACGTCGCATCATAAACATTGCAGGCACCCCCCTGAGGGAATACTAGTACTCTCCAAGCAGAGGTTTGGGTTTTGGCTTATTTTTGGCGTGATTTTAGGCTTTTTTATTGGGCTTTCTTTTTGTGAACTGTTTTTTTTCATGGGTTGGTGTAAAAAAGATACCAGTGCAAGAAAGACTGGTAAAAAAAAAGCCTAAAACACATGAAAAATAACTCCAAACCCAAACCTCTGCTTGGAGAGTACTGAGAATTGAATATCTTGTCTCCAAGCATATGTCTTGATTTTTTTCAGGAAACGTACAAGGTTTTGGATCCAAACATCTGCTTGGAGATTTGGGACAACCTGTTTTTTTTAGGTTGACCTCACATTGAAAACAATAAGGAGCTTAAAAATAGGATTCTTACACTCCTTGCAAAAGTAGCCTGCCAATTTTGAGGTGTTGGATGGTTTCAAAATTTTACCTTAAGATAATACCCGGGTGGATTGCATTTTTTTAATGAATAAATGGACAGAAATGTGAACTGTGAAAAATATGAGAAAGCTACAATTAAGGAGTGTTTGGTTCAGCTTGGATAAAAAAGTTGTCAACAGATTAGAAATCTTAAAATCAGCATCGAAAAAAGTGCTCTACAGGTCAATTCTTTTAAATCCCCTCAATTCCCCTGAGATTAAATGGGCTCTGCAGGCTATTCTTTCTAAAGCCTGTTGGTCACTTGCATAAGGGATGTCCACATAGCAACAAGAGTGTGTCCTTGCTATATTTGGGACGTCCCATCACTGGGCAGTAGTAAATTATTGCATCTATTGAGAGTTGTCTGTCATACAAGACAAAACACAATCCATTTGCTAATTGGACTGATGGAGAAATCTTGTGGGAACACAAACGTTTTTTTTTTCTTATGCAGAATCTCTGCAACTTGTTATCAAATCATATTTTTCATATATTCAGTGGGACCAGTAAAGGCATGGTCACTATTTTTTTTGTTGTAAGATTTTTATTGATGCCATGACAGTACTAGCCAATGACACACTATTAAACAGCAATTTTTGCTGTCATGAGATAGCTGTTTTTTGTAGAATACCTGTAACTCGCTGTCATGACACTATAATTCAAGGAATGTGACCAGGTCTTGAGTTATAAAAATTCAACTTGAGGTTTGATATTGTTAAAATATGGTTAACGTTATGTCAAAGCTCTGACAAAAGATGCTGTGAATACCAACTGCAGGTGTAACTACAACTGTAAATCTGTGTCGTCAAAGATGTTCTTTTACACACCCAAAAACCTTTTGAGGTTCAAAGCACACCAGACACCAGAAACCCAGAGCACAATGGAAAGGAAGATATAGGGGCCATTTTCGAGTAATCTGAGGGCTTAATGGTTTGCAAAACTTTACGTAAGGCCAAGCGGGTTTCTGTTCGTGCTTTTTGCAGTCATGGCAACTGATTTCATGCCTCTGGTGATTCAGGACAATGAGGACACTGCAGAGAAAAGGACAACCTGATTCTATAACACCTGGGGTTAGCGCTTCACTGTGCCAAGGGTCGCATGCTTTTCTCGAACAGGTGTGCCTAAAGCTGCCATTGATCCAGACATACTTTATGCTTTACTCAAAAAAGTATTTACTGATACTCTCCAAGCAGAGGTTGGTGGGGAAGATTGTAACCTTTCTTTATATGTCCTGTTTTTTCTGTCACTACCCCCACCAACCAAGTTGTTAATAGCCTTTGAGGCTGTGACTCGCAGCAGAGGTTGTGGGGGCAGTGACAGAAAAAATGGGGCATATATAGAAAGGTAACAATATTCCCCCCCAACCTCTACTCAGAGAGTATTTACTGATTCAGAAATTGCTGAAAAATATTTTTCCATTGTCAAAATAACATTGTCTAATAATCACAAAATAAGAATTATTATTCTCCTTACATTGTATTTGGCTAAATTTGAGGGATCTTGGGCCCTACTACATTTTGTACTAGGGTTTGGGTTGGAGTTAGGAAGGGCATCCAGGCGTAAAAATCTTGCTCCAACAAAAGACTTGCATTTGATGCAAGCACGTCTAACCCCCATTTCGGGGTCGGGGAAAAATGATGTTACAATTGGATTTTAAAAAAAAAGAATTATCAGTCTGGAGAAGAGCCAGTTTGCCACTTTGTGACAGTGACTTTTGGGTAACCCTTGTCACAAGTAAGAGCCACATACATTGTAGATGACATTAATGCCCAGCATCAGTCACAGTAAACCTCTTGCGCTGGCGCCATCCATTAAACTTGATACCCGTTATGTCTACAAAAATATACTGTAGTCACTTCTCCTGGGGCCAATTCTAGGAATTATTTGTGGCCGATTCTGGGAATTACTCGTTGTCAATATCAACCACCTGTTATTTAACACTCCCGTGGGTGACTCGATGAAAATTCATGACCAATCTGTCTGGAACAGGTTGCGTAACAGTTGTAGCTTGCTTTGAAGTGTACAATTTAACCTGTGCAAAACTGTTTTCCGTTGTTGATATAGTGAGTGATTTTTTTTACTAAACACTGTAATTCCCTATTGTTTTACTTTAGCTTTCATGGCCTTTAGTGTTTGTTAAGTGTTTTCATTTGTACCGTGAACTTATCATTACTGTTATCAAATCATTAAATTATTTTTCACTTCCCTCCCTGCACTTGATGCCATAGTGACAATTAAGTTCTGTGATTGCATGTCCACTTTCCTCATACTCTGAAATTTTGCTAACAGGAAGACAAAGTTAACTACAGTATAATGAGCAAATACAGCATTCGTAGCATGTTTTAAACGTCACATTAGCTGATTACTACTGCTAAAAATGATCAAAGGTTTATTGACCTTTTCATGGCCTTGTTTATTGTCTCATGAATACATACATGAGCTCTTTTATACACGACTTGCTTTTGTTTCTGTGCAGGAACATTTGTTAATATCCACTAGACTCCTTTGCAGGCTGAATAAATAGTAGAAATCGGTCTAAAATTAGTAAAAAGAATGTACCCCGGCAGCTGGCCAGGCGAGATGGCCGACCATAGAGGGTCCAGTTTGCCTGCACGCAGGCCGATTTCTACTATTTATTCAGCCTGCAAAGGAGTCTGGTGGAGACTAAACATTCTTGACACTTGACAGTTTCAAGGGTATATTTGCCTCCCCACCTGGTAGTACGTAGTGTGTCTTTATGTAGAACGTGGATGCTTTAGTCAGCTACATTTCAAAATGAATGACTCAAAATCAAGCCTGCTTTTCTGTGGGAAAGCTGTTAAACAAATATGAGTCAAAGGAGAAATGAGCACCATAGAAACAAGAAATTGAAGTTCTCAGACTTCTGTAAAATATTTTTGTTGTTATTTGTTGCTTGATCAATACATGTAAATGTAAATGTCTTGCTAATTCTGCTAATCAATAACGCATTTTCCCAATGGCTCCCATAAGGCAACAGGCACGTACAAAGCAGGAAATGAGATAAACTTTTCTGGGATCTTTGACCTAACTTCCTGTCACAGGTAGTGTCCCGTCCTGCCTATCATACAGTGCCAAAACACAAGCAAACACAGATGCACAAAAAAACAAAACCTCCACATACACGGAAAGAATAAGCCTGAGACACTTAGATTTAATAAAACCAATAATTCATTCTCCATGAGGTTATATGAGGTATATTTACAATAAAATGCAGGGTTAGTAATGACTAATGTATATTAGCACCAGACATTTATATGGGTATTAAATGACAAAAATAACATTGTCTCAGCCTCCTGACATTGAGAATTGCTGTAAATATTACAGCTCTATTATGTTACTATAACACAACTGCAACAACTTACATTACTCTGAGAAGTTGGTGTACAGTGTAGTTGACAACAAGTTTTTTAATCATCGCAGTGTCTATACTGGTAAATATTTTCCAACACTTGTGAATTGTGATCAAGTATTTCATTCTGTATATTTAATGTACATATAGTGACAGTTTCTGCTTTGTGAATACTTATATATTGAACGGTAAATTGAACCAAACAAATGCCTAGACTATCATACCTAAATATTCACTTTCAGTTCTTTCATTTAAATAATGGTCCATCCCCTGACCAATAATGGTTCATCCCCAGATCAAATGGACTACCCCTAAATAAGTAGCGTGACTCAAGAAACGAAATCAACACAACCGAAACTTCATAAGTTATTGAGTCAGGGAGTGAATTATTTATAAGGTTTGCCATTATACACCAAGGGCTGACCTAGATATAACAATAGGCTGAATGTATCTGAAGATGCAAGAAGAATCCGTAAGTCACGTTTCATCATAGGAGACATGATTAAATGGGTCAGAGTAAGATTTATATCTGTTTAATTAACTTCTGCGTCATTCTCACTTCTTCTTTCACGAAGGGGACACGTTCGGCCACACCCATTTGATTTGTGAGGGCCTGCCTACCCTTTTTTGTAAGGCGTAATCAGGTCTTTTTAGACTTCTTAATTCATAGGCAGTCTCCGCAAAAATCAAAGTACCGGTAATTCGTAATAGGACATTAGCTGCAAATTGTAAGGTCGCAATCAGCTTTGAGACTTTAACGTAATTTGTAATCGGCGGCGAAAATTTTGTGTAATTCGTAATCACTACACACCCCCCCCCCTCCCCATGCAGGCCTTCATTTGTTGCTTCTCTGTTTCAGGAAGTTAATACGGTAAGGCGGGCACGGGAAAACACCCAGAAGCCACAAAGTCAACATACTAGGCTGGTTCATGATCCAAACAATGAATTTTGAACTTGAATCACTGCATAGATTGATGTAAAACTGTAAGTGTAACAGTTAGGAATACAAAGACTTCAACCGTTGTTGACAAAATATGGGCATTTTGGGGTTGATTCAGGACCTGAATGGTACATGCATGTTGTTTTGGGAAATCAGAAAAAAAATTAAGCAAGGATCCGAGAAACAAGAGATTAAATTGGTGTGGCCTTAAAAATGCAGTCCTTGATACAGCCAAGGACTTCTGTATAATGTCCTTGATATAGCTGAGTGTGCATTACTATGTAAGTCAAGACATAATGACTTTGCGAAATAAACCGAAATTTGATAATTTCTTCCTTTACAAATCTGCTGTGAAAGTTATACAATGTATCTATCTCTTGTGTACCAATCCTAGTAATACAATAATTATCTACAATGGAAAATGATACAGCCTAACTCCTGAGGGAGAATCCATCAGAAATAAAAAGAGAATACATCGTAAATGTAAGATAATCATCATCTAAAGTACAAGGGTGTACTCGAGTTACTGAGATTATTGACAACACAATAATAGAGTTCTACACAATTAAAATCTAACACTAGAGAAAGGAAACCAAGGGGGAAAACCCTTCAAGCTGGCGTCAGATTGTCAAAGACCTTTGGCCCATTTAAGTGATCGCCAGGTTGCTGAATTTAATAATTCCGCAAGTGTTAATAAGTGTATTTTTTGCTTAAAAATGTACCTCATCATATGAGACGGGGCCTAAAATCATCCTGTCCCTAAAAATTGCACAGTGGTTGGGAGGACACCAGCTTCAACTTTCAAGAATCGTCATAGTAATGGACAATGCCCAAGCATGTAATTTCATTTGAATGAGATATATATCTGATATCCGATGCCGACTTACATGTACATTATAATTATCTACGAGTTCTTTATTTTTCAAACATATTTTCAGAAAAGAAAAAAAAACAAACAATATGCTGATTCCTGAAAGTATCAAAACAGAATCTTATCTTTTTCACTGCAAAGGAATTGTGAGGTTCTCGATTCATCAAATCGTTATGAATAAATGTGACAGATCAGCAAAGGTCACCAATCGTTTCATCTGAGATAAAGAGAATTCCATCCCTTGATTGGTGCAACATCTAACGTCTGACGAAGACAAATCATCGAGGGAATTTTAATCTCGAAGGGAAGAATTTCAGAACAAAGGAGTGGTGATTTTATTCCGTGTCGTGACGTCTGTACCAGCTAAAGTCAGACTAATAAGTTTTGTAGCTATGGTAACGCTATACACAGGGCGTAAAACAAAGTTGAATCGAAAGATTTGATTAAATATTGATGGTTGGAGGTCCTGGAGTGCAGATTTTAGGGTGTAAAATACTGCTTCAATTGGAAGGAGTTTTTTTATGCCAAAGATGCTAAAAAGACACTTTTCTTCTGAGCAACAAGAAGGAATTTCAACATTGTAAATTCTTATGGCAACAGATTTTCAAGTCAATATTTATCATGATTATGAAAATAATTAATTTTTACACTGTTCAGGAGCAATCATTGATAGACCATAGAAATTTCTTATCTATATTTTTTATCATTACATGTGGTGATTTTTTCAACCAACAGTTTACCTTCAAAATCTTTCACTTCCTTTGAAAAAAGGGTCACTTTTGCAAAGGCCTTCGATCAGTGCTCCTTTCAATCCATGTTCTCACGGCCACGGCCACCTAGCAGTTCTGGAGTGAACTGCAACCAATTAGTGCTTCATCTAACAGGTGGTTGAACAGGTGGTCAGTAGTGGTCAGCACTCAGTGGTCACTGTTGCACAGGATACAAAACAACAATGTTCTATATTGTGTGTTACCTTGACAGTCATTTGAGAAGGTGAAAGTATTATATGTGATTTTATTTATTATGTATAACTCTGTTTATTTACTATTATTGATTGGCCCTTTGTGATAATTTATTGGAGAATTTGTGCTCTTGATTCACACATTGTAATCACACAATAAAATGTAGTCAATTTTATATTGAATGATCGTAGATTCCTGTTTGAATCTATGTGATAAGAATTTTGTATTATGTTGTCAATGAGTCTAACATGAATGAATTGTTAAAGAACCACAATTCAGCCTATGTAAGGCTGCCAGTGTTTTTATCCTCAATAAACCATTTCATCACATTTTAAAATCAACTGATTGGCGACCTGTTCCTGATTGCCCTTTGAATGTCAATACAGTTATTTGTTGGATAAAATAATTACATATAAGAATTACACATTTTGACACATAAGTACATAATTGTGCATAGTGCATAATTACTACACATTACATCAGCCACTGAGAAGTTTCAGTGCATAGAATCAGTGTGACACCTGTCAATCACAAATAGTCATATTGAATATGACATTGAACGTAATGGTTTATATGTTATTATAATTATCATGAGTATCATTTTACTCTACACATCATTATTGTACATTCTATGATTATCATGAGAGGCGCAAAATAGTTTCTAACTGTTAAACCATTCCTAAAACACAATTGCTAAAATACTTGACAATGCAAATCAATTATCATACATATTAGAAAAATACTGTGGCTTGATTTTTGTAGAATGTACCCCCAAAAAAATATCTGGACAAAAAATAATGTTGCAATTAAGGAGAAGCCAACAAATTTAAAATTTCAACTAAAATCATGTCTCCTTCTTGTCTAGATAGTTGGAAGGCACCCATCCCGAATGTTCCCCCCCTACAACGGTAGCGTACCACCAGCCATTCCAGTGCGTTTCTAAAACCTCCAGCTCTTCTCCCTCGTCAAAACTTAGCATCTCTGCGTCGTCAGTATGATAACTAGCCGCGGCAATGTAGACATTCTCTCCCGTTACTATCGTGGTATCGTGACCCATCACATCTTCAACGCTCTCGTAGATGTGCTCGTCCCCATCTGTTTCTAGCGCCGTTACCGTCGTAAGCGAACTCGACTCGGACGTAAGGCTACTCGTCTCGGAGTCCATTCTCGTCAGAGATTTGGGTCTGAATGGGGAGGGCACATCTACGCGAGCGCTGTTCAATTCCCCGATTGCTACGTCTTTCGTTTTGAGAGATGGTGGGGAGGATTTTGTTTGGTTGAGAGTGAGTTTCGGTTTATTTTGGGCTAACGCGGGTTTCTTGTTGGAGATTACCGGTTTACTTGCCTGGACTGCGGGTTTGGTTTGAGGCACGCTCGGTTTGTTCCCGAACACGGGCGGCTTTGGTCTTGCTGGTGCAACTGCTGGTTTGTTCCTAATGAGTTGAGGCTTTGCTTTTGTTGGCACTGCCGGTCGACCTGCCAGTCCTCTCCCTGTACCAAAACTTTTTCCCGACTTTGCAACTGAAGCATCGGCGGCATCTCTCTTCTGTGCTGGTCCGATTTTACCCTGTAACATGCCGAGTCTTTCCTTTACAGAGATGAACCGCTCTTCACCATCTGCTTGGTGCATGTCGTCTGGAATGCTCTTCGCTCTTGAAGCCTTTGTCTCCTCTGTCCTCTTTTTTGGGATCCTGGATAACGAAGATGTTGTTTCGCCACCTGTCTTCTCCATCAACATCCCCATCCTCTCTTTTAAGGAAGGAACTCTTTCGATCTTTCCACCTTTGTGATCTGAAGATGCTGACTTGGGGATAACCTTAGCCTTTGGACTCCCCTTTCTCGGCTCCTGCTTTTGGAAGCCTTTGGGACTGGTTGTCCTTGTGGAGGCAGCTGTAAACTTGCTCATACCCTCCCTTACCGATAAGACACTCTCTGTACTAGTGGCCGGTGGAATGCTTTCTTTGGGTGGCAAAGGTTCCGAAACCTTGGACACAGTTTGGGTTTTCTTGACAGGTAGAGAGTACCTTGCCTTGACTTCTGTGGCCCTTGTTTGCTTTTTGATTTCCACGTCTTTGGTGGGCATCTTGTTTGGAGGTGTGGCCTTCTTCTGGAATGCTACTGTAGTCGGTTTCTTGTTTTCGGAGGATGAGTGTTTGGTGACATCATTCCCGTTTCTAAATTTTGCAGGTACGGCTTTCTCAACATCCACGTACTTGACCTCTTCTTCTTCCTCTATATGTAACTTGTCGTCGTGCCCGAGGTATGTGGAGGGAGCCCACCCCTCCTTGGACCCTATTCTCACAAACCACCACCCTGATGTGTTCTTCTCCAGCACTTCTGCTTTCTGTCCCTTCGAGAAGCTGATCTCCTTGGTGTCTTGCCTTTCGTACCTTTCGCACGTGACGTAGATCCCCTCTTCATCCTGGATTAGTTCTCCATCATACTTTGAGGGTTTCCCATGATGCTTTGATGTTATCCCATCATGCTTTGCACTCATTTCCCCACCCTTTGTAGTTCTCCCAGCATGCTTTGCTGGGATTCCTGCAAACTTCGTTTTCTGTTGCCTGTTGTTGTTTTCTTCTTCATCGTTCTGTTTTGAAATCTCAGTTCTGTGTATCTCGCGGGATTCTGGTTTTGTTTCCGACTGCACTATGTGCTTTGCCTTCGCAGCAAGGACCTTATGAATTTCACTGAGCATGTCCCCCTCCTGTTCTGTATGTTGTTCGGAAGATGAAGAAGGTAGGTCCTTGCTGTCTGCCTCTATCCAGCCTTTCATCTGCGGTACCTTCGGCGGTTGAGTAGTTGGTCTGGAGGGCCCAGGGGAGCTTTTCCGAACAGGGGAGCTTTTTCTTACCGGGGAACTTTTCCTGATAGGGGAGCTTTTTCTAGCAGGTGAGCTTTTCCTAGCTGGAGAACGCTTCCTAACATTTTTCTGTTTTGAGGCCAGAACTTGTTGGATTTCGCTGAGCATATCAGTCCCTCCGATGGTCGGTAAGACCGGGTCGTCTTCACTTGGAGACAACCGACCCTCCTGATCTTGAGTTTCTCTGATGTGTAGCACTGGTGAAGCTTTTCTTCCATTAACCGGACTTGGGTCCTTCTCTTTCCCCGACTGTTGGGGAACAGGGGGAGGGCTAAAGTTGGGTTTCACAATGGCATCACTCGGTGTCCGTTTTAACTGCACATGTGGTTTCTCAAACGCGGGGACTACTTTCGCTACTGGTGACACTGGAGGACTGAAGGTGGGTTTGGGAACTGCTGTTGCGCTGCTGGCTGGTGGTTTCTTTGGTCGCTCCCGTCTTTCGATGTACGATGCGGGCGCCCATCCTTCGGTGCCCCCCTCCCCCACCGTCACAAACCACCATCCACTGGGAGACTTCTCTATTACCTGCAGAAATGGGAATAACACTTGGATGAGCAAGAAGTCACTACACTAAAGCTTTAAACAACTTCTGCAGTTAGATATGCAAAGTTGGGTGTAACAGGTCATTTGGTGTAATAAAGCCAGCTGCGAAGCTGGTGTGTTACGCCGAAGGGCAGTTATACCAGCTATAATACAGATACAGAAACAGATGTAGGAAATTTTAGACTTTCAGCAAGTCATTGGGGTTTTTGTGACCTTCAAGTTCTGCCCATTTCCCATGTCTGACCTTTAGACCTGTCATTCTGCCTGTCAATCTTCCCCACCTACTCTGTCCAGACAAGCATACACAAACCCATAGCTCAGCCACCCAAAACAATACTTCTGTAAGAGAAGGTTAAGAATTGTCCCTGATAATTCCGAAGTACAAGAACTTCCTAAGTGCAGTCTTGTCCAATGTAGCTGCATCCTACGTCACATACAAAAGAACGTTAATAGAATAAATTGCCAAGCACCACATGGTCGCGCACAGTTTACGTATCCACTCATGTCACCGGCGCGAGACAATATCTTCGCACAATTCATTACGGGTTGCTCTAATTTTCAGGCTCCGTGAACCCGAAGGCCTGTAGGAGTACAGATGGAGAGGAATTATTTCTGTCACACTCCTGTGACATCAAATATAGCTCTGCTGTTTCTCTTACACTCTCCTGGGACACTGCAGTCAATCATTTGTGCAAACGCATCCATGGAAACATTAGACAAATTTACGTGGCATTGTGAGGGTAAACGAAGACACTGAACTCCTGTTTAGTGATAATGACAGAAAATGTGTCTGTCTGTGTGTTTTCTCGTGTTTCTGTAGTTATGTTCACGTGCTCAGTATGTTGGGAACATGGGAAGAGTCCCAGAAAGGACGTGAAGTTTATCTCGTTTCTTGTCTTCAATTTTCCGCATGTTTGAAAAAGTTACCTTTTGGGAGCTAGCAGAGACAGAATCAGATCAGAAAGAATTTTACAACAATTACTCAAGAAATTCACAAAAACAATAGCTATTTCACGGATCTTCAATTTCTTATTTTGAAAATGACAAAGATGGTTATGGGGAAATCAAACTACATGTATCTACATGTACAAAGAATTCTGAAGCAAAGACCTATTTGTGGCCTTAATAAAAAATAGAGAACTCATCCTCTTTTTCAGGACATACTGCAATTCCTGATTTTTCACAGTACTGTTAATGCTCACTGTTTTCACTGTCACTTCTGTACCGTAAACTTATCATTACAGTTAACAAATAATTTCTGGACTTTATTTTTCCTGCACCTGTCATCACCGTGAATATATAGTTCCATGAACATGTACATTTTTCTCAGACCGTGAATTTTGCTACCGTGAACATAAAGTGAATTACAGTACTATAGTAACTCAACGTTGGTTGTCAGTCATTTGTGGTCTGTTTCCCTCCCTCCCCCGGGAGCGACGGCACCCCAACATTACCATCTGGAGTCAGACAGCGGGGAAATTACGACAACTGCCTGCAGCACAGATTTACGTCATCGGGAAGCCGAGTATGACACAATCGTGGGCAGTCACACATCATCGGTACGGGACAGGGATCTAGCCAGGGTAAATTTTTGTTTTCCGTCATCTCAATTTTTGTCACGCATCAAAGATTTGGCCAAACAATCCTAGGATGTCGACTGACCAAAAGGCTATTTCCTGCAGTTGTGATGATTAAATCCTCCTTGATAAGACTAAGCTTAGATTAATGACATCTCTTTCCATGTCATTACGCTGTGAAAAACTGGACAAAATTTTTGTTCGTCATGAGCTGCAAAATGCTGGCTAGAACACTGGTACAGGCCACTTTGGGACAATTTGAACAATAAATCTGAGATATCAGACAGCAAAATCCCAGATGTGGTCACAATGTACAAATAGTACTTGCACTAAACTCAAGAGTGCCTCCTATTAACAAATATCAGTACTGCAAGTTGTAACCAATACTAAGTACCTTGAGTCTCTCTCCCTCCTGGAAGCTAATGCCGTCCTGTATGGTGGCCTGGAAGTCTGCCAGCGTCACGTACTCCACTTCCTTCTCCAGCTGAGGCGGCGGCGGCCTTACCGGCGGACGCTTCTGTGGCAAGGACAGTTTCCATGTGGAGATTAGCAAATAACTCAGGCAAATGTCTAATCTCCAAGCAGATCCTAGGGTGGCAAAGGACAAATTGCCCAACATGGACCCTCTCTGGCCAATGGATTCTGCCTGGCCAATTTGTCTTTTGCCATCCTACGATCTCCTTGGAGATTAGCAAATGTCATGTTTGGAACGAGAAGAAATATGACATACAGACAGAACACAGTGATGTAGGTTAGACATGAAGGTAGTGACATACATGTACACACAAGGAATTGTTACTCAAGCAACTGGGTAAATTTTGAAAACTGTCAGATGTTTCAAGCAGCATTCACTGCTTTTCCTCAGTAACATAATGCAGCAGATGCTACTTGTTTTCAAAATCTACATGTATCCGGCTGCTTCTGAGTAACAACTTCCTTGTATACAGACAGAACAATGTAATACATGGAGCAAAGATAACCACAGAACAAAAGCATAATACATGTACTTATAAATGCAGGACTGACATTTGTCATGTTCTTATTATTTCAAGTCAACTTTTCTAACAAAGTGATTTTCAGCATTCCATATGACACTTATCTTAATTGTGCATTCACGACTACCTGTATCTGCTTGACACCTAGCTAATCAACCCACGCATGTATGGAATGGTTTATTTTCCCTACATCCTAAAACATGCTGTTCCACTAATGATGGTTTAACTGCCTTCTACATTCTCTAACTATGACTGAAGGGGAGTCTACCTGCTCTGCGGCTTGGGGTTGCTTTTCCACCAAAACAGAGGAGACAACAGCACGGACAGAAAACAAACATTAACATCTGACGTAAACATTTCTATATAAAACATTACGGCTCTTCAGTACAAACCTCAAGTTTGTACTAGCACAAAAATTTAACATTAACATTACATGTACATGTAAGACTCTGGGGAGGAAGATTTTGGTAATACTCAACTTTGAGACTATTTAATTATGTAACATACTGGGGGTAGTACCTCAATATCAAAATTGATCAGATTAAAAAAACAACAATCTGTATTGGCAAAAGAATTCAATATGAAGTTCAAAAAATGTATCTATCATGCTGCCAAAGGTATACAATGTCTATACTAATTATTGCTGTCAACAACTTTAAAGTATATACTTTGGCTATAATCTTTTTAGTGCGTGTTAGGACAATCATGTAACCTGTATAAATCTTAATTTGTCTGACGCTGACCTCTTCTCTCATGACCTCAATGAAAAGCTGGATAAACAAAAGTTCACACAAACAAACCAACCAACAAACCAACATGCTGCTACGTTGTTAGTCACCACGGCACGGTGTGACAAAATAAAGTTTTACAAACTAATGACCTGCCTGTCGGGGGGGAGGGTGTTCAGGGGGGTGCGGGTACTGCAAAACACAGGCAAACAAGAGCCAAGAATGTGCAGTACTGTGAATGCAGTTTCCTTTTGCAGTGGTTTTATTTCACGGTAGGAGAGAAAAGGAAGTTTTCGCAGTGTATGAAGTTCAGGGTTGAACCAATTTTGTAGTACTCTCCAAGCAGAGGTTGGTGGAGAAGATTGTGACCTTTTTATCATATACCATTTCTATTTGCCTAGGTGCCATCCTATTTGTATGCTGCGGCTCGCATACTCGCTCCTTAGGGATACAAATAGGATAGCACCCAGGCTACTTTTCTGTTGCTACTGTCACAGAAAACGGGGCATGTGATAGAAAGGTCACAATCTTCCAACCAACCTCTGCTTGGAGAGTAGTTCTGTAGTACAAGGACTATAAAACACATATTTACTGTGTTATGATTTTGAGGTAACAGGTTTTACCATGAAAATTGCGAAAATAAAACCACCACGTAAGCTTCTGCATTCACAGTAGTCTGACAACAAACTCACAAACAGAAGAACACACACAGTATCAACCCAATAAAAATCTACACCATCCAATTTCTAAGAGGGACGTTTCTTTTGTTAAAGTCCACTGGTAGAAATTAGAAAGTGAAAGAGGTACTTGGACAAAGAGGTACTTCAAAGAAGGAAATTGGACGTTAATTAACAAAACAGAACAGAAATACAGAAACAAAACTGACACAATAACACAAAACATAAATATGATTCAAGGAAAAATGACAACAATAAGACATATATTTCCTTCTTGTAAGCAAGGAGGCTAACAACTTTCATGGTGAAACGTTCTGCGTGGTATCTTTCCATTAAGTATCAACAAGAGTGACTTACTGCGATGGAGTCCCTCCTTGGTGGTGGTTCCTTCTGTTTCACTACAACTGGTCCTAAATAAAAAAAGGCACAGAACTGTTTTTTCCTGAAGATACATATTCAAAGGAACGTACCGGTAAACATTACATCAATTTCAATTATATCACATTAATTATGACCATGCAATACACTACAGTGTCATGCTCCTATTGCTACAACATTATCTATTCATATACTATCATTTTACTAACAATCAAGGGCTAAGGTGACAATACCATACCATCTGACAACAGTCAAGGCATGCATAAAGAACCCCCTAGTGACTATAATGCAAAGTGCAGCCCAGAGAACAGACACCACTTGGACATTTCTTTGGACTCATCTGCCAGCACAAGAGAGGCCAGGGCATGCAGTATTCTCTGTTGCAGTACTGTACTTGCCTTTAAGCCTTCTGAAAGACTCTCTGAGAGAGGAAAACCTCTTTCCTAGAGAGAATGGGGGGTAGAAAACATCGCCAACAGGGGAGGTGAGTATAGCGGGACAACGGTTCGTCTTCGAGTAGCCTGGTCACCAAACCTATTCTAGCATTTTTTAAATTTATTTATTTAATCTTCGAACACCTGGGTGGCCTAGTTCAATTTTGACAAATTGATTTTCAATAGGGCCCAGCACAAAATACAATAAAATCCAAGATACAGATACAAACAAAGACCGATATAAACAAATCGTATTCCATAACTCGTGTCGATTTAAACAGTCCAGGTCGGCTTTCTATTTGGAGGTCAGAGGGTCATTTATAGTACCTACACCTATCTGTAGTCCTACATCTCTCTTTTTGTGGACAGGATGTAGGACTTGGGAGCCATACTAGGTTTAGTAACCAGGCTAGTCTTCGAGAGGCCGTGGCACCTACATGTACATTGTCACTTCATTCTCAGCCACAAAGCAATATAAAGCCAACAACCCACATACAAAAGCAACTATACCAGTACCGATTCCACCAATATCCACATGCAATTCATACAATATGAGACAACAGGAAGTTACATGAAGGCTAGACACACATGTTGTATAGCACACTCACTGACTGATACAGTACTGAAGGATTGACAACAAGTAAGCTTTTGGTCTTCACATGTTTGTTATGTGTCTGTCATACTCAGTATCTTGACCTGTACCTAGCCCGTCGTGGCATGAATGTACAATAAAGGTATTTCATCATTTCATCATTTCATTTCATTAATAAAATTGCCTTTTTTCTTACTCACTTTTAGGAGATTTTCCCCTTTGTTTTTCCTTCTTCTTGTTCTCCGATGACTTGAGTGGAAGAGCAGTAGGCCTGGACCTGACTGTTCTATCTGTCTCCTGATTGGCTGCCTCGTGGTTGTTACCATTCCTCTCATTGGCCGAAAGCTCAGCAGCACTCTTCCTGTTGTCCAATCGGGGGCTGCCTTTCTCGGGGGTTGTGGAGCCGGAGCTTCCAGACCTGGCGTCGTTGCTAGCTCGCCTGTGATTGGCCAGGTTTGGCAGGTTGCTCACTTCCAGGGCACTTCCGATGATCTCAGTGGGAACCATGCTGACAGCACTTTGGTCTCGAGGCTTTTCTAAATAAGTACTCGGAGCCCAGCCTTCCACATCCTGGTATCTACGAAGAAATACATGATAGAAGTCAGAGAAAACATCAATATCCATTTGTCAAAATTAATGAAAAATGTCTTCATCACTTTAAAATCATTTATTCAAGATGTTTTGCTGCCACCGGCAGCACGTCCTGACTACAGCCTGGGCAGTGGCGCAGAACAGAAGTGCTTGGAGGTCGTTTGCCGGGGCGCTACGCTCCTAGGAGCATGCGGACATGAGTGAGTGAGTGAGTTTTGTTTTTGGCAACCATAAAGAAGCTGTGGCAATTTTGTGTTGCATTTTTTACTTCATACCAAGTTGAACATAATTATGAACAATTCAACAGTAAAACTACTGTCACATATCCACAACAATACGATAACAACCACAAAACTTGCTACAGTATAAGGTATAACTTTCTATCAATACTCTGTACATGTTCGACCAGGTAGAAGGTTACTCACACGGTTCTTTGCACTTCCAACCAGTTGCCAAAATTTACGGCAACTGAATGTATAACCAAAATCCCTTCAATGTCTGTAGCAAGTTACAATACTCCACAGCCCACACGCTACCACACTGATCATATCATATCATAGAACCTGCAGTACTGATCAGTTCCAATAGGGGGCACCTGTAGCTCACCTGATGTACCACCACCCCTCCAGGTTTTTCTCCAGAACCTCCACGGTGACCCCGCGGTCAAACCCCACCTCATCCCCGCTCCGAGCGTTGTAGGCATTTGTAGTGACGTACTGTTCTCCTGCAGGGGGAGGGGGGCACGGTAATCAATTTCTATTCAACTACATTTAAAACTGTCACAACAAATGTAAATGAAGGGTAGACATGTGCATTCAGGTAATGAATGTACAAATTACAATGATTTGAGGCGGCTCCCTACAGATTACGAAGACTGAAAACTCCTGATTACATCTTACGAAAAAGCTTGAAAAAGGGCATTACTCAAGCAACTGGATTGATTGTGAAAACCGTCAGCCATTCCAAGTAGCATTTACTACAGTCACTTACAAAAAATGCTACTTGAAAGTCTGACAGATTTCAAAATCTGTCCAGTCGCTTGAGTAACTGTTTTCTTTCTTACGTCGGTGAAGGTTAGACATCCAGGTAAAAAAATCTAAAAACAGTTACTCTAGCAACTGGATATGACTTGAAAAGTAGTGGTTGCTTGAGCAACTGTTTTTTCTCTGACCTTCTCCTGCCCTTGACCTCCGTGAGATTTCTTCGGTGAGTCCATCTGCGCGGTCCAGGAAGGTTGCCGGTACCCATCCCTGCTCATCCTCCACCGTCACAAACCACCAGCCTGGGACGGCAGGGAAAACTTCATTTAGTGATTTTGTTATTCAAGCTGGTGTGTTACACTGAAGAGCAGTTATACCAGCTATACAGATACAGATACAGACACATCTTTGTAACTATTAACTTGTGTTGCTGTTGAGGGATTATTATTACACTTTTGTCTGTTTGAACAAATAAATTACAAACTAACAAACCCAACCAACTATCCAACCAACTCACTCACTCCCTCACTCACTCACTCACTCACTCACTCACTTACTCACTCACTCACTCACTCACTTGTTAACCAATCAATACACCAATAAAAATGATTTTGTAAAATCACTGCTCAAATTCATCAAACAACTCAATCCATCCACAGTTACTTTGCCTCACCGTTTTCATTTTTCTCGATGACGTCCACGGTTGTGCCGGCCGTCACGCTCATCTCCGTCGGCTGAGATTTCTCGTAGTCCGCGACGACGACGTACTGGTCCAGCAGCAGCGGCTCACTGATGGACTCCGCCATCTTCTTGTTCTTCTTCTCCTTCATCCTACATCAGTGGGAGGTACAGAACTGGTAAGTATGGACAGAATTATGATGCCTTTAATGCCAGTCCCGGCATGTAGGGCAGCAACAAAGGTTCTCCAGTTCCCTGTGTCCTGGGCTATTCTCTGAAGCATCTGAATGATATCAACCATAATATGAAGCTTATACAAATGTACCTGTCGTACAGTGTTCAGCAACTGCCTGTGTCCTGTGTAATGGTAGATGAAAGAATGTCAAAATCAACGATCAGAAGTAATTTAAAAATCTTAAACATTACATCCAAAATGCAGCGATCATGAAGCAAACTGTACCTGCAAAGCTGCCAGATTAAATTTCACATTCTAATTGAATTCCTTCTTAGCCTGAGTGTCAGCCGTTTAAGCTTTTGTCTACTCCCCATGATCCGCTACCGGCAGTGGATCGTGTGGAGCGGATGAAAGCTAAAAAGGCTGACACTCAGGCTAATTCCTTCTACCATCACAAGCTGAATTAAGAATATGCAACTCCTGATGTGTGGAAAAGAATTTTCTTACTTAACCATAACAGCAACGTAGGAAGGATTGGTAAAATGCAGTCCCTTCCTCTGCACATTCACATGTGGAACATCCATATCACACCGAGCTTGGCACAAAAATGACTTCACATTGCAGAGTTGTATCCGCAACTTTTCTACGGACATGCAACAGAAACTATCTGAAGAGCTGCCAGCATCGGTGACTTTTGGAGGCTTGAAAGGAAAAAGAAGAGGGGAAAATTCTGGACAAAAGCCATTTGGTGATGCTCCTTCCTTGAGGTCTCTTCCTGCTTGGCAAGAAAAGCTTCTTCAGTGCCATCCGGCATCTGCTGTCGTTCAGATACTCATATTTCTTCATGTGGTAACTTGAGAGGGTTTTGATACATCCAGTCAAAAAGATCAAAGACAGTTAAGAACTTGAATTGAATATCGTAACTTTATAGTCAAAAGTTAAGGTATGATATTGGTGCTAGTCTACCCAAATTTTCCTTTATATCAAAAGTAAGGTTGATCAATAGACAGCAGTAAAGGCATTTTTTTCTGATGCCATACTGTTTGATATACATGTATGAGTGACCTGTTGAAAATGTTTTAATGCCTGCCTCTGAAAAAAATGAACACAAGCCCAAAACTGCTTCTGAAAAACATGAAGTATCCAAGAAAGCCATGCACTGTTAAAGAACAAAATTATGATTTAAAATTAAAGCAAAACTGATTAACCTGCACATCCCAAGTGTATCTAGCAGCCGTCCACCTGCAGTACTTCATGTACCAGATAGAGGGCATTACAATCCCAGTTGCCCACTCGAGCTTCATGCACATTGTAAGTACTAAGTGGTTTGGGCTGTGAAAATAAGGGTCTTTTACAACTTTGAAGGGAGTAAGACCAACATTTATTTTGACATTATACCAATAATGTCCTTGTTTTGTCTAGAAATATTACAAGATGTCTCACTGACTGATGGGGAAAAACATTGGGGATGTGTAAAATTTAAGTAGAAATACTGGGAAGCACTCACATAAATAATAGTGTAGTGTTTAGTCTCTTAAGTTATATAGAACTCCTTAGCATTGTTTTAGGCAAAGGTGTGAATAGTACCGTGTCAGGATGTTATAATAATTATTTTTATTAGTACTTCTACTTTTGATAATTACCATACATTGTACATTATACGATTGTACTACAACAGTACTGTTAAGCACTAAAGTTTAACTTCACTTGATGTCTATGATATTGTACATTTTCCTATACGAATAAAAAATTGTTACTTACTCTTCCTTGGGAGGATTAATGTCTTCTCTGGTTGTCTCGAAGAAGTTGAGGACCTCTGCACACTCTGAGATTTCGGTAGGGAGTCTGATCAAAGCCTGACGAAGACAAACATAGCATCTTAGATATGACACACAAGTTTATCATACTGTAAATGTACATACTTTTGAGGTGGTTTTACTTTTATGGTATGAGGGGGAAAAGAAAGTTTTCATGGTGTCTGAATTACATGTATTACTAAGTAGCCTGGGTACCATCCTATTTGTATACCGAGGTTCCCATACTTGCTCCCTATAAAGTTTTCAGCATCAGGAAGTGAGAGTGGGAGCCCGTGTACTAGACTACAAGTAGGATGGTACACAGTCATGTACCCAGGCTATGAATTAAGTTGATAGTTGAAACAATTCTGTGGTATAATATTGAAACACAAAGCACATCCCGCCCGTTGAAGATCTTCTTACTACATATACTTGTTTCGTCCGTCCTGTGTTGGAATATGCCGCGCCTCTATGGCACCCTGGTTTGACCTCAGCACAGAGAAGGAAGATTGAAAACATACAAAGAAGAGCCACCAGAATCATCCTTGCTAAGGAGTTCACGAACTACAAGTCAGCACTGGAGACGCTACAGCTACAGACTTTAGAAGATCGCAGAATAGCCCTGTGCAGACGGTTTGCCAACAATATACAAGCTTCTACCCTCTACCGACACTGGCTGCCACAAACCAGGGGTAGTGTCAGTGGGAGGATGACTAGACAACATGCAAAACTTGACCAATTGCCAGCGCGCACAGAGCGGTACAACAGAAGTACATTACCGTACCTTGTTCACATTTTAAATCATGAATAGTCTGTGTAAATGTATGATTTTAATATGATTTAATGACTGTTTTTACAACACGGAATGATGATCAGGATTTTATTTCACTGTCTAAAGCTTTTATTCACGCAATTCAGCCTTGTGGCTGCCTAGTGATGGAGCTGTATTGTGATTTGTGTTTGTGTTTGAAATAAACCAATGATATATGTATTTGCAGTGTAATGATTTCGCATTAAGAGAACACCGTGAAAATACAACTATTTCATGATTTTACTGTAACAATGGCATCATCTTTATCCTTTTTGTATTCCAGAGTGAACACTCTCTCAGGACCTGTCATACCTATTGTGACCTTCCTCCTAAATTGCTTGGGATCCAAATGACATTACCTTTGGCTTTGAAGAATGGATGTCTGCCTTTGCTCTGACAAATTTGCAAATCCACCCTCACAAATCAGATTACGGTGAAGAAAATAACTTTAGGCAAGCTGCTTTGCATCGACTTTGAGCAGAAACATTATCCAGCCTCAACTGCAAAGTCAGCTTGGACAAGATGGGATTCTGTGTATTGAAGGAAGATGCTGTCTTTTTTCAATGGTTAAATCTGTGGAACGTAAATTCATCCTTGATGTTTTCTCCCACTGAAGTTATGATTAGTCTAACATCACAATGGACATGTACGAATGTATATCATATTATAAGAAATGTTTAATGGTTTACTTTATTTACTGATGCAGTGTTCCAGCCAGCCTGAATTTTTTTTCCATCACCTCAATTTTGTCTGGCATAACATCATGTCAAGGGAGCACCTGTGAAATGCTATTTCCTGTATTTTGAGGGGCAAATTTGGCTGGTAGACTAAAACTAAACTTAGTCTACAACTTAGTCGTACAATGACATCTCTTTCCATATCTTTACATACCGATTTTTGTCCGTGAAAGTTGACGGATTGGGTAAAATTCTTGTGTTTAATGTTCTGCAAAATTCTGTCAAATGACGGACAATGGCTACATGTAGAACGAACACTGGGCAGATGTGTATTGATTGAAGTGAGTTCTCACCCTGCAGTACTCATCGATAGGCTTCAGTCTCTTCACAGCAACTTCTCTTATATGGCTGCGACCAAGCAGCTTCTTTCCTGAAAAACAGTTTGACATAATTTAGAAAAAAAATGTAAAATGAGAAAATCTACATGTAAGTACTGGGGTGTAAAATTCTGGTGAATGTAAAAAATGATGTCATTGGCCTGAAATATGAAAATATATGTTACAATATTACTAACCAGTTTTGGCAGGGCTTGAATTACCACATGCATACACATCTTTGTGCATGATATATTGGAGGGGAGCACATAATTTTTGCCTGCACTTCCATCAGTCATTCAGTGCAATATGCAAGTGCAATTTGCTTTACAGACTACTAAAACCACTAGAAATACTGTAGAACTTTGAAGCAGGCATAACCAATTGTGGACTAAGATCTATGACAGCCTTTTAAGCCTTGTAATGAGACAGCTGAGTTTTGCAGGACAATGAATCCCATATATGCTCCTACTTTGAGATCATATGACCATTGCACATGTACAATGTCTGACTGCCTGGGCCCTTATAATATATTTGACTGACGCCTGAGGGTTTTTTGGCCCTTTTCGACCACACTTCCTGAGGGATGACATCATCACACATGAGGTGGCAGGCTTCCTTGTTCCATATTTAACCCTTCCACACCACACTGCCTTCCTTCCTAACCCCTGGGGTGGAGGAAAGTTGCCCTAAAACTGAGGGATGGTCCGTTCTTTCTTTTTAAGGAGAACAGTGGCACCTATTCAATAATAAATTATTAAGATTTTTTTTTAAATGCTACTCTGAATCAATAGTTTAGCTAGTTACAAAGAGAAAATCGCTTTAAAAATACTGAAATCGTCTCACCCAGATCTACAAAGCACGTCGGCAGAACGTACTGCGCCTGCGCAGAACCCTGTACTTTCACGGTTTTCAATGGATTTTTGGTCAACGTTGCATCAAAATTTTGCCTGTTGCATAGAATATCATTTCCAACACAACATTTGGAAACTACAGACGGGGTGTTAACCTTATATACGCTAGTACAACCTTATATGAGACATTCTACAGAAGTGCTATGCACAATACATTGCGGGTTTCGCGCAGGTGCTGTGCGTTCTGCCGACGTGCTGATCTACAATGTATAATAGAATACTATACATATACATGTCCTCATTTACTTTCTCTAAATTCTACTCCCAGTACAAGACTTCCAGACAAAGAGGCCAGTCTTCTTTGCTGATAGTCAGATATATTGAAGCCTGAAGAAGAAAGTTCACTTTTATTAAGGTAGCTGATACAACTTGTTATCAAAAAGGAAGGAAATAGTCTGACCATACTTGTAGTTGTAGAACAGAATGTAATCGTCCATCATCACTCTAGAGCGAAGTTTTCTCTACAAATCCACTGTGTTTCCTGTCAGACCGTGCAGCTTGGCAGAATTAAACACACATCTCTGTGTAATCCACTAAGGAGGAAAAAACAGACATCCCGGCCTGCTCTGACAGCTAATCTCCACTTCCCTCTACATTAATCCACCTGCTTTGGTGAAAGCAAATCCAAATCTTAATATTAATCTTCACTTGCAGAAATGTAGTGTATTTCTTTTATTTTCTCAATTTGAACTATTGTATAAATACAGTTCAGATAGCAGACATCTGTATCTATAATCTATTTACATGATTGTACATATCCATATCTATCTAATGACTATACCTAAATATACCCCTACCGGTATCTCTATTATTCGTCTATCTCTCAAGCATTTATCTTTGCGACGGTTTTATTTTGTGGTAGGAGAGAAAAGGAATTTGCATTAAGTTAAGTTGAAGCAACTCTGTTGTACAGTAGAACTATAAAACACAGGTGTTATGATTTCAGAGTCAGGGGTCACCACAAAATCTGTGAAAATAAAACCGTCACGAAGGTTTCTGCACTTTGTTTGTACAACAATTCTCTCATTTGACTTTGTATTTTGTAGGTTAGACCAACATTTTCCGAGAAAATCTGATTAAAGCCCTTTGAAAAGCTGGTTTATGTAAGATTACCCATGGATTAAGGTAGATCAAGGTGTGTAGCTTGGATTATCCGTCCAGATGGAAATCAAATGACCATGGAAAAAACCATTGGTTCAGACAGGTGTTTCAAATCATGGAGGTAGAAAAAAAGAGCTCCATGTTCGAACTTTACGCCGACAGTCATACATAAACTACATGGACCAGTGAAGGTTAGGTGCAGGTAGACATCAGAAATACCTGCACAGCTTCTAGTTTACCTGCACTAACCTGAGTGTGCAAGTGGTATTTTGAGCCCTGATATAAAACTTACCACAAGAAACTTACTTACTTTCAAAATTGCAAAAGCCTCAAAAAGTGCTTGAAGCAGACTTAACTTAACTAGACAGTACTACCGTAGTCTAAATCCTATGCAGATTTAACCCCCCATTCCCCTATTTATCTATTCTAAAGGATGCCGACTTCCAAGAAAAGTAGGAAGAACAGAATTTACTTACCCTAAAGATCTCAGTCTTAGCCTCTTTTCCCTCAGAGAAGCCAGACAAATTTAAGGCAGACTAATACAACTTGCTCTCAGATGTAAAACAAAGCACTGCTTTCTCCTAAATCAACTGTTTCTATCAATGGCAAAGGCAGGTTCTGAGGCTGATGATTGGGAGCAGCTCTACTCTTTGACTACTGTTTCAGCTAAATGAAGCCAGGCTGTTCTGTGAGCACAGGCAGCACCTGTGATCATTAGTACATGTAGGTAGCAACTGTGTGTCTCCAGGGCCCTGCCAAGGCAGTTTGTCGGTTTATGGAGAAGAAAATTGCTGACCTGGACAATCAAACACTGATGGGAAAGTCAGTAACATCACCAGGGCACACACAGGGTCAGACAGTGAAGGTAGTCAGATTAAAGTTTTCTTCCACACCAGTGTACTAGTCTGCATTAAATTTTTTCCGTCATCTCAATTTTTCTTTGACGCAACATTATGTCATGCTCAGAAGGCATACAGGTGGGGGTCCGGGGGATGCAATTTAAATTTTGGAATCTTGACCTTCTAATCGTTACTTCCCGTATTTTGAGGGGAAATTTTGTTGGTGGACTATTAGTTTAGTGACAATTCTCTTTCCGTGAATCTTTACATACCAATTTTTGTCTGACAAAGATGATGGTACCGTTTACGTGGCAAAATTTTGTCAAATGACTGAAAGACTGATGCTGACTAGAACACTACAGTCCCCCCCCAAAAAAAGCAACCCTCTGCTTTCATGTAGCTGTCTTGCTAAATCTTTACTTATTAAAAATGCCTCTGAACAAAGGAAGTAAATTTGTGTGGCCTAACCACTTATCCTTCCTTCCAACCAAGGTCTTTAAAATAACCATGAGAATGACACAGATAGGAAATTAGACTTCTTACTGAGTCACAGACATCCTTGATTATTTCCAGGCCTTTCTTTGAGGCATTATTAGGTGATGTTGCCGTAACGAGGGCCAGGCTTTGCGGAAATGTGAGGAAAACTCCGGGAGAGAAAATCCGGTGATCCGGAGGACAGACAAAGCGATGGAAACCTTAGCTTCAGCTGGGAACACTGATCACAGACAGGTGTTGGTTTGGCGTGGTGAATGAAAGACCCCTTTCTTATGTTTATACATTTATGCACTTACATAGTCATGTACCAGTTAAGTACAGGTGGTGATAATATGTACATTTATGCCCTTACACTTTAAGTTACAGGCTAAGTACAGGTCGCCTTTCCGATATGACCATAAAATCTTTGCACAAAGAAAACTGCTGTCACCAATATCACCAGTCCAGACACCACTATATTCCAAGCATAAGTACCTTAGATTTGTGACAAAGAAACTTCAGATTCAGCAGTCCACATGGTAGAATATGACTCTTAAGTTTTTAAAGTTCTTCTTCAACCTATAGAATGTACCGATTTTGACGGGGCTCTTAAGTATACCATTCCAGAATCCAAACTGAGTTATGAACCAACAATCTAATCTAAACGATCAGTGTTTACCTTGTTTTGCCCTGATCACAAAATGATAATGACAGTAAAAGGACCTTCAACTTTGTAATATAATCACGGGTCTGCATCATTCAATATTCATTGATTTACAAATGTATCATTTCTTAATGTATTTACTTTTATTGTATATACAGTCAATTATCAAGCTGACCTCTAAAAATACCAGTGTAATAAAAAATAAAATCCAATTTAATCTAATTTGATACACAGATAAGTCAAACTAATATTATCTGTGACAGCTAACTCCATAATTTGCATACTTGGGACAAGTTAAATGATCCCCTTTCAGTACTGCTCACTGCACAAAGCATTCCTCCAACACCTGTTTCCTTTGTCCAAGGACAGGTAATAAGCCACAAACATTTAGAGGCCATCTGCATCTCTTTCCTATGATTTAAAATCATCTAGTAACCATAGCAAAAATTCATCAGCATTTTCTGATTAAACTCATTTTTATAGTACTCAGCTATGTTTCTCAAATCTTAGATCTCGTAGATAATAATTATGTTTCATCAAGTGAATGCCCGTATAGCTGATGCTCTAATCAAAATTTCCTCATAACCAACAAGTTCTGAAAGGAGCTTTGATACTCCACAAATAGAAACCTGCATAAAAACATGGGAAACATCTCTATTACTGTCTAATAAAATCATGTGGCTTCTACTTTACAAGAGGCCAGTGTTCAACTTCAACCTGTTATCACTGGTTGTTTATCATTTTGTCTAACTTAATAAGAGGGAAACTGCCCTCCAGGCACTAGTGATGGGGTTGACCAGTCAAGGAACACAAGAATGTGTTGAGACAGATTAAACAGGGCACAGACCCTCATGTCTAGCCAGAGGGCAGGTCATTGTGAGGTGAATGTACACATGTAACTTGAGGTTCCACCTGTACGAGAGTAACATTAGCTCCTGTGATTAATAAAGTAGTTGAGACTAAACATCAAGTTGTCGCTAGTGTCAATTTGCATTGATTTTCTCAAAAGGAAGTTGAAGAAAATTAGTGGCAGTTTTGGTAACAAATTACAGTTGGTTCACTATCATAAAATCTAAGGAGTTGTAACATCATCATGTACTGTTAAAAAGGGGACTGCGTGGAAGGTGGGGTGGTACTGTCAATGACCTATGCCTAACTACAGTAAGGTATTGGGTATGTATACATCAAATTCAGTGATACCATCCCGATGGGAACGGGTTTTCTGCGCGTGAAGAATTTGCGCGTGAAAAACTTGCGCGTGAAAAATAAAAGTCTTAGAAATATGTTAGAAAATATGCAGTACCAAATTCTTAGGCAGGAAAATGTTGTCCTCTGGTATAATTTTCCCTCTGTTAGCCAAAATTTTTTATTGAAAATGTTGGTCCCTTGGGAATAAGCTAATTTGCATAATTTCCATAAAACCTGACCTTTTGAAAATCACTTGAATTTGTAAGAAATACATGGAAAAGTTGCTAGTATAAGGTTTAGGATGGTAAAATGTAACAATCTGAAGCTTTTCTCCATTCTAGAAGTTTGATTTCATGCTTTCTTAAACAAATTCTTTCACGCGCAAATTTCAACCTTTTTTGCGCGTGAAAACTTTACCTTTCAAAATAACCTGAAATCACAAAAAAATGGACAAAACAAGGGTATGTAGTCCAGAATGCAAGCAAAATGATGTTAAATTTTTATTTTCTTGTCTTTTTTCCAACTTTTAAGCTTAAAACAGCAAAAAGTTTTCAAATCCCTTGGGAGTCAGCTAATTTGCATATCTTCACGCGCAGATTCTTCACGCGCAAGTTTTTCACGCGCAAATTTTTCACGCGCACAAAACCCCATCTCATCCCGATTTAAGTTTACATCCACTCCCACATGGTCGCTACGGACCAACAGACGTTAACTAACCAGGATGGTATCCAGGCTAGGAAAACCGTGGGTCTACCCTGAGACTACCCCCTTGTGAGTGACAAGGTACAGTATTTTGACTGATAGGTGCCTACCGAAGGTTACATGTGTTCTTCCTGCCACTGATGCTGTACCGAAGGTGGTCAGGGACAGACTGGCTTCCTTCCTAGCCTTTCCCAGGCCTTTCAACACAGCAAGACTTGGTTTTTAACCTTCTCTCTGCTGCCTAACTCCATAAACAGTTCAAATCTACTACCACATTAGTAGGACCCAGAGCTCTCTGAGTAGGACCTGTCAGATGAGTCAGTTGCTAGCACTTGAAACCCCACTAACTTAGCAGAGAGAAGGTTAACTCCCTTCTAAGTTAACTACCAGTAAGAATTCTGAGTACTGTGAAACAAATGCGCCATGATCTTTAGCACAGATTCTATTTAAACTAACTCGTTACCATAGCTCATGAGTTTGATAAAATTTGTTTCTTCATACCATACAAGAGGAAAACTCAAGTAGAAAGAAAAACTCAACAGAAAGTAACTGATATAAATAAAAACAACTAAAATCAAGATTTACATGCAGATAACTCATAAGTACAATAGCAAAACATGCATGCATGTTCTTATTGTTGAATTGTTACTTGTAAACACACCATAAAGTTTACATACCTTCAATTTCTATTGTATGATCGCAGAACTTAAACATTGTTTGCTTTTATATTGAAAACTTTGTGATGACAGCTACATGAGCTATTGAAACTTCTTATCATGTAAAAAAATTGTACACCCCCATACCTGGTAAGAATGGGATGATCCTCTGCCGTGGGTCGTTCTTTCCCCCCTCGTCTGGAAACTTCTCCAGTAGAGTCACCTGGGGGGAATAAACATAAACATGTCAAACAAACGTGTATTGTTAACAAGTTATTACAACAATAGCATAATTACAGGGTGTGTCCACAGTCATTTATAAGAATAGGAAGGAAACATAAACACATTGTCAGTCATCAACAATACAAACTTGTATAATCAATTCAATGATGCATTATTTTGGAAAAATAGAGGATATATTAAACAATGAATCTGTGTGATTTTGCTCTCTGAGGAGGAGGCAGGGAAGTACAATTGGTGCTTTAATTCTACACATTTTTTTTTGTTCATCAGTATGCATTATATTGACAAATTCTTCATATCATGTAGACAAACTTCAGATTGCTAAAAACTCTCAAAGCAATGCCCAGTTAACTGTTGCAGGGTCCCCCCATGCAGACCCTCTAACAACCGTCTGACATCCCATATCAGGACACCATGTGCCTGTCCTGTACATGTCACATTCTGCACATTCAGCCGGTAGCACTTCTGTTTGACTTTCTATCTTAAACACATTTTCTAGATAGCAACATTATTTAAGTGTATCAACTGGTCTAAATTGTGCACTTTAATTTCATAAATTTCATCTACATATCTATATTTATGATGGAAATGTTGTGTAATATGAAAAATGTTATTATACAGTAACATGTAGGAAAGGCAATTTTTGTATTACAATGTATGTGTCAAATTGTATCAAGCTTTAGAGTTTTTGTAGTATAGGTCTTATTTATAATATTTTTAATTTCCCCAAAAAGCCCTTCATACGCAAACTTGAGCCTACAATCACAAGCATTTTTATTAGAATCGATTAGAGCCAGTTCCAACTGTCCAGATGACCCAAGGACCTGGTAGCACTGAGGCATTTCTAGTTCTCTGTTTGCCCTCCTATCTTAGACCTACATTCTCCACATATCACAGAATGTTTGCAGTAAGGGCTAGGCTGGAGGCCAGACCCATAGCACATTAGGCCCAGAGTTACAATGTAGCCAACATCTAAGTGAGTGAGCTATGATAATATAATGTCATTGGGTACATGTTGGCCCTGGAACCAAGAAACTGGCCTGCAGCTGTGTAGATCTAGACCCTTGCGACAGTTCCACAAAAGTGTGTGGAGTATCATGTGTATTATGTGATTGTTTGTGATTATTGATTGATTCTAATGTGATTGTAAACTGATTGTAAACCCTGCATTAATTCAGCGCTATAAAAGGCTGCGATTGGACTGATAATTATAATGTTTGACCAATAAACCATTTATAGACCCTGGAAAAAGTCTGGCACCCAGGCTAAGTTAGAGCAGGGCCTAAGCAGGCAGGCATGGGCCTAAGGAAGTCTTGAGCAAGACCAGCAGGGCTGGAGAGGATACACACATTTCCTGCTGATGCAGGGAAGCAATTTTGTGTAATCATACATCAAACCTTGTTACATGTACTTCAGCATACGGAAGTATTGTTTTGGGTGGCTGAGCTGTGGGTTTGTATGTGTGTTTTGTCTAGACGGAGTGGGTTGACAACACATAGGGGTAGGGGAAGATTGACCAGCAGAATGAAAGGAGGTCAAAAGGTCAGACACAAAAAGTAGAGTGAACTTGAAAGTGGGTTGACAGCACGTGGATAGGCGGAAGATTGAAAGGCAGAATGACAAAAGGTCAAAAGGTCACACAGGAATTCAAAGCAGATGTTTGGAGGAGAGACTGCACTATGATATACAGTATGTAACAGTACCTAAGGTATATGTTCTTAAGTACTGTAAGATATAGTGGATTCTGATCATAGACATTTGCTATCAGGCGCCTGGGCCTACTACAGTGCCATACTCCCTTGAGGATTAGTAAAAGTAAACATCCCTGGTAGGAGGCAGGACAACATTTGTTATACAGGAGGAGCACCTGTCACAAGATGTAGGCCTGACAAAGACAAGATTTTGTAACTGTCTGTGATGTACCAGACTCTTAAAGGAGATTAAATTCTGAAGGTCTAGTTGGCTATTGTCCAAAAGTAAGGATCTTACTGTATTACATCTAAAGAAACCTTAACCTTGAAAAAAGCAGAGTATTTGTAAAACGTGTAAGCTACCATCAGTATGCAGCTACTTTCTTCTTCTCTTCAATATGCAGCTAGCTTCTTCTTCTTCTAGCTAGCTTCTTGTGCAGCTTATAATCATTTTCTTATTTTCAATAAGCAGCTAGCTAAGCAGCTAATGCGATCGTGACAAAAAAAAAGTCAAAGCCTGTGCCAGACACCAGATTTGAGCCTGGTACACATTTGTACCAAAATCAGTCACACTCCAGACATCATCAGGATAATCATCAATGACATCTCAAGAATTCAACAGTCTTCTAGGTTTTCCACAAGACAGCTAGATTTCAATAATGTTTCACATGGACCTTGTTAGTATAGGCCACCCACCTCCTTGTTCTACAGAATACAGTAATCAGGACCAGGACACCTGTAACATTACTCTCACTAGGGACAGTCTGTGGGCACAGAAGTACAAGTGGGCTGGGGTTTTAATCATGGTCAGCCCAGCTGAGGTCAGCCCTTTAAAATTAGATACTGTATTGGAACTTGGTAGCCTGGGTGCCATCTGATTTGTAATGGCAACCCCGAAAATCGATGGCACCCAGGCTAGGAACATGGAGGATGGAAGTACAATAATGGTTTAGAGGTACTGCATGTCAATCTTCCCCACCCAAGTGCTATCAACCTACTTATACTAGGTTTGTGTAACTGTGTCCAAACATAAACCCACAGCTCATCAACCCTACCTCAAACAATACCCTACCTGGAAGTATAACCAACTGTCCAGAATTTACGTGTTTCTTTGATTGCATAAGCAATACCGGTAGCTGAATAGGGCATATTGAAAGTAGAATATACAAATTATAGTGCACCTACAATATACACTTACAATGACACATTGCTCCAACACATATCTGTATCTGTATCAGTATAGCCAGTATAACCGCCCTTCGCCTTAACAAACTAGCTTCGCAGGCACGCGGCAGCTAGCTATATCACATCGACACCGAACGACTTGTTACACTCAATCTTTGCACATACAGACAAAATGTAAGTAAAAGAGCTAGGCCTCCATTAAAAAGAGGCATCCATGTCTCCTAACGAAGCACAGGAAGTGATTTGAGTGGGATTGCTTCCCACCATTTATACCTCCTAACTAGTTCAAGGGCTCCGGCATGTCAGGGTCAAGCTCATAAGTGCTGTAGGATGAAAATCTGATTATCGGCACATGGTGTCTGACTAGGGCTAGTTTAAAGTCAGGTTTTAGTGTGTTGAGGGTTACATGGACATGGTTTCATGTAGCATGAGTGAACTGTGGGAGCAGACATAAACGAACAAGGATGGTACCCAGGCTAGATGACATTACATAACATTATGCTCAGCTACAATGGCAATTTTGACAAATTAAGCTTTTACATTTTAAGAATGCAATTTTGTGGAAATATTTGTCCTAAAAGTAGTTGACAATTTAAACCAAACTAGAAAGGCCGACATTTGCTTTGGAGCAAATACAGCGATGGCTTCACCACATTTTACGACATGGCAGGGAAAGAATGAGAAACACAAGGGAAAACAATGCTTTACAAGATAAAAAGAAACGTCCATGCCCCGCATTCCAATGCTGAAAACACTGCAAAACACTTGAATACAGTTCATACTGTCAGTATGGCATGGGTCTGTGCAGGTGTTAATGAAGTTAACCCCGTTAAATCCCAACAGCCAATCAGCAAGAAGGATAGAGGAAAGCTGCATGCCTATTGGTTGATGCCCTGCATTCCATTGTGATGACTCATGCCCAAACGTGCACACTAACACAGTAATACATTTGCTATAACACAGCAAAAAAGCTCAAATAAAACCATCCTAAAAGCCTGTATAACAAAAATTTAAAAAACGCCTAGGGGTATTTGCCCACTGTACCTCCATACCAAATTTCAGGTCCTTAGGCCCAAAAATGAAGAAACTGAATCCATTTAAAGAAATGGCAGGAGAAGAAGGAGGAGAAGAAGAAACATCAGAAAAAGCAATATGGTTTCACCACTTTGTGGTGAACCCATAATGAACTGTTATGGTTGCTCTCCTATCCCACCTATATGTAGCATAATGTTACAAAATGTATGTTCGAAAATGTATGGTATAAACCTTTATTTCTTTGTGGCATAACTATTAATGTGACAAGACTGAACATAATTATATTTGAATGGTTTAAAATTTGAGCTAATAACAACAGAAGCACATACCCCCACCCCCTCCTTGCTGTCTACACTGGATACTGACAACTTCTAATTACTTCTATGTTACAGAACAGTCCCTGAACGTAATGCACAGTCCCTGAACATAATGCACAGTCCCCAGAGTTTGTACAGGAAGCATGCAGGGAGATTTAATCTGCCTGATTGTCACAGTAGGTTTCATCTATCAGACTCCTAAATCAAATTTCTTCAAAAGACTCAGACAGTGCAGGACTGTTGCTACAAAGACTGGGCTGCTTTCTGGGCACATAGTCTGAATACGAATTGAAATGAATATATAACATTGTGCTATTATGTGCAAAGACAAAAAGTAGATTCAAGTCCCTATGATGCTTTTTATAAAAATATTATCAAAATCACATCAGTTGCAAAATGCTGCAAGCTCATACAATAGTATACCCTACTACTGTATACTTTGTACATTACTTCCTTCCTACTCTTACACTCCACTTCAAACCTTTCAAAAAGGTGAAACGTGTGGAAGATGAAATACGTTTTATTTCAAAATGTCCCTTCTAGGATTAGAGTTGTCTGATATTACAGACTTGCCTTATTTAACCACATCAGAACTTGTGTTTGCTGGTTTATGGACAGCATTGATGTGCATTTAATTGACCTCTTGGCCTGTCAGGGCTTTTATGACCATAAAAAGAGCATAATTGATGTTTGATTATGTGCACATGTCTGTACTGTAAATCATGCAACTTTTACAGGTTTCATTTGATGGA